CTGCGCAGGCGGGTGGCTGCCCACAGTGCTGCGCTGTGCCTGGCTCCCTGGCAGGAGCTCCCAGCCCCGTCCTGTCCAAGGTCGACAGGAGTTCCGTAGGCAGTGGGGATGAGCGCAGGCGTGCGTTCCCCAGGGTTTTCAAATGGAGGCCGGTTTTTGGTGGAAATGCTCAAGTCATGGGCCGAAGGCTGAAAAGCACTGCTGGCCCTGCTCTGGAAGAAGCCTCTGGAGGCCTTTTTCTGAGGTGTCCTGCTCTGACTGGCTCGGTGTTCGTAAAGTCAAGAGGCTGTCCTCCAGTCAGGCGGGCACGGAAGTCTAAAGCAGGAGGTGTGAGCGGTTGGTGGAGCACACCAGAGCTGCTAACGCAGGCTGTGCAGTCATGCAAGATACCGAAATTACACGCAAGGTAGCTGAACTGGAAGTGCTAAAGTCTCTGTTACTGCCCATATGTCCGGTTTCCTGGACTCCTCATTGTTGTTAAACATCCTTGAGTAACAGAAGATCAGTGATTGAACCCAGGAAGGTGTTTATTCTCCAAGCTTCAACATCATTATTGTCTTCAAGTAATCTGAATAAGAGAAGTATTTATCAACACAGGAGAGAGAAAGCAAAGTGAGAAGCTGGTTAAACTTGCTAAATTCTTACCAGAGCAGAGGAGTCATTGGAAGTCCATACTGTTTACAGGAATCAGAGCTTTGCAATTGTTTCTACCATAAACGGTGAAAAGAAGCAATATTTAAATGATTTGGTTTACTCTAGATAGGCATCAAACCCGCAGGTCTGAATTGCTCTCCCTTCCTTTTCCTTTTCCCACATTCCCTTGATGACATGGAAACTTAATTTTCTAACTTCGATTCTTGGCACTGCACTTCAGAGGCTATCATCTATTGCAGACGGTGGAAAATCCCCCCTAAATCTTACATACTATTATTATGTGTCCTAGAACAAAGTAGGGAAAAAAGTTGTAGAGAGGTTTTCTTTTTCTGCCTTCAAAAGCAGATGAGTGGACACGGGAGTACCGGGAGAAAATAGCTAATCTTGCATAATACATGTGCAAAAAGTTTTCTGGCGAGCGCTCACTGGTAGCAGGTAAAAAGCAGAGGAAGCTATGATCAGAGAGATTCCTGTGTCATCGTGTCTGTCTTTTCTTTCCCTTGCTATGGCAGCCAGGATAGATCTGGCCATATAGCTGTGAGCTTGCTGCAGTGCCTTTCAAATAAACTTGTGTTAGCTGGCAAAATGAAAGCATGGAACTGTGGCGTTAAAGGACAGAATAATCTCAGGGTGTTCTTCTGAAGCACCCAGTCAGTGACTTATTGCTTGTGTGTTTGTGCTAGTGTTTCTGGCCTGCTGTGTTCCGTGTGTTATAAATAGCTGTTCACTTTCTAGTGAAACTACACATGTGCACTGTCTGGTTACACTTCATACTGGAATGACGAGACATAAGATTTCCAAAACTAGTATTAAATGAAATAGGATATTCCTGGGTAGCTTTTATTTTGTAGACGTGGAACCTCCGGAGACTTTACATCTGGGAAGGATCGTATCACAGCATCTGGTAGTTGGCTGTGAATTAGAATTTGGTGTTGAAAAATGACTAGGTACAATGTGAAAAAATTTTACAGTGGTAGCAGTTGGAGTGACAATTTTTTTAAAGTATAATCTTACAAGTTTTGTTTACTAGGCAGAAGTGAACTCTGCGAATAGCTGTACCAGTAGAAGCCATTGATCATTAGCCAGTCCTCAGCTGCCCATCACTACACCTTGCTTCTTTCTCCTATCTAATCATTTTTTCAGGTACCAATAGGAATGGTACCATGGATGCAACCAAAGGCATCACATTATCAAAAATGAGCTGCATAAGCTGATACAGCTCATTTTGTCTGAACTGTGTTGAAAAGCACCTGTGTGACTCTTCATGGGGCTAACCTCTGGCAAGAGGCTGGAAGCAGGCAGCTGGGGACAGCACCTTCCGCCATTATGGCTGGGTCCACCCACAGCCCTGGTGTGAGGACAGCCTGGGCTTCCTTCAGGGAGCTGTTGGTAGTCGTAGGAGTCTGTCAGTATGATCATAGCTAAATTTTGTTTCCCAATTAACTCTTAACTTTTCTTTGCTGTGAATACATCATGTTCTTGTTCAGAAAATCAGGACTGACTGCAGTGAGTTGTATTTTCAGTCAGCTGCTGAATCCTGTCTGCTACTCCACTGGATCTGGAAGGTGAATTTAAGTTTTCCTAGATCTGGATTTCCCAGCTCTGTCTGATACCCTTCTTTGGCAGCAGGACGTGGAAAGTTCTACCTTGTAATTTATTAGTGTCTGAGCTGGAGTCATAACTACAATAACAACAGCTACACCGCCATGCTGAGGAAATTACCTGTGAGGAAAGGAGAGGGATCTGCATATTCCTCCTCCTGGGCAGACTGCTGCTAACACTAATTGTCTAATGAACAATTGGCTCAGACACATTTTGGGCCTGTTATATACACAAAAATGTGTTCTGCAGTCACTCCATCCCAGTATCAGTGCCTCAGTGCTCCAGTACCTTTTCCTGTCTTGAGCATTAAATCCATATAATTCATTTGCCTGTGAGACATTACTTGTTCCTGTCTTAATGCATATGGCAGAAAGCAAACAAATAAATCTGAGGGCAGCAAAATTAATAAAGACTGGTTTTCTATAGATTTGTGTCTCCCTGCTGATTGTCTTTAATTAAATAGCAGAAGACTACAGTGTAAGCATGTCTTTAATTAGATGTCAGAGAATAAAGAGAGAGACATTGTAAATGTCTCAGCTGGGGGAAGGAGGTAATGTCTAATTGGTTTTCCAGATTCATTGGACATGAGAGAGGAGGAGGGTATTCTGGTGCCTAGTAAGGTGTTCCAATGTGAAACATTCATAATACCTTCCCCACTATTTAATGAACATGTCTAATTTACATACTCCTTTTCCAGGTTAAGTAAGGTGGCCTGTCCACCTAGGTAAGGCCGGTTGATTTTGTCAGTGGGTAAAATAACACATCATTATTACGAAGTCCATTTTAGTCCCTGCCTACTATCCCTCCTGCTCCCTTGCTTCCAACAAGAATCCATTTCCCTCAAATGTAATTTATTTGCAGTCAAATTAATTTTATACAATAGTTCTTGTATGACTCACAAAGATATGTACAATATCTACTGATGTGATTAAAGCTGTTCCGTAGAAGATTTGAGCCACCTTCTCGTGTTGGTTTTTGAGAGCCCAGGGCTGGATAAAAGCCTGTAATTGCTACCATACTGCTTCACATATGGTCCAGTGGCGAATCTGATGAACTCAATATTTTTGGTGTTTGTCAGCTCCTGGACTTGCTCCTTGATATTTCCTCACCTTCTCAGCTGCTGCATCAGCAAGTGATAATAATTTGCTGTCGTATCTGATGCTTATATCCGCCACCAGTACCTGATCACCCTTAACAAATATTAGGTCAGGCTTGTAGAGCTTGTTTTGGTGGTCTCGTAGGAGTGACTCATGAAACACCAGCCAACCCTTCTTTTGAGCTTCTTCAGCCAGTAGATCACACAGTTGGTTATGTCTTTTGATCCTAGCTTCCTGAATTGGTGGGCAATACCCAATAATACATGTGCAAGTCTCACTCTCAGCTTGACAGTGCTGGCAGATCTTGAATTTCCTGTCTACCCCAATTCCCTCATGAGGTAGACATTAGCTCTTAGTTGTAAGGTGGTAATGAGCTTCCTGTGGGGAATACCCCTGTAACACTGAATCCAGTTGTTACTAATTTTATCTTTTCCAAAGTTGACAATTCCACAGCCCTGACATGGCAAGCTGGTCCACTTCAAAAATTCTTCCTTCCGCCATTTACTAGGTCTTGGAAAGATCATCTTTGGAGGAGAAATTTTCTGAGACTGAGGCCTCACCGCAAACCACTTCAGGAATCACCATGACTGCTTCTGGGTCCCAAATTGATGGAGTTTTCTCTTCCCTTCCTCCCACAGCAATCCACAACTTTCTAAGTTCATTCTCAATACTTTTCTTGATGAACTACTGATTTTTTAGTGTCATCAGAAGGGTCGACAGTTCGGTACAGCTGACAGGTCTGCATGCTCGGGATTAATCCTGCGAGTCTGACAATACCTAGGCCTCCATTGCATGTGCTGGAATAAAGAATAATGCCACAAGCACAGGCAAGTAGATGTAACCATTCCTTGACAGCAGATTGAATGGCCAAGTCAAGGGCTTGGAGGTATGTAGCCTTCACATCAGTGTGGTCAGCTATTTTTTAAGATGTCGTCCTGCGAAAAAGCCTTAAGTGAAGCCTGCCCAGTCAGCCTCAGCCACTCAGCTTTTCTGACGGTTCAGGTTTTGATAACCCAACCCATGGGTCTGCATATATAGGCCCAGATATTTTTCAGAGGTGCTTGGGTCAATCATATTGAACAGTATGCCATTGATTGTCCAGGCAGGACAGTCACTGATTGTACAAGAATCTTTCATTGCTGTCATGTAGAAGCCATGGCACTTCAGCCCCTGAGGCCAGTCAATTCACAGAATCCTTAAAAAAATGTTGATGTTTTTCTGCATTCCATCCCAAGAATCACTCAGTAGTACCAAGTCGTGGGCAAAGGCTAATGTTGTTATCTTTTTCACGCAGTGCTGTAACCCATTGCCTTCCTCCTCCAGCTTGCACAGTAGAGGGCAGCTGATAGATTGAATAAAATTGGAGGCATTGCTTTGCCTTTCTTCACCCCAATCCGTATCCCGATGGGGTCCAGGTGTTCATTCTTCAGATCTATCTGGATGTTAGTAGTATGAAAAACAATTTTAATTAGGGCAGTAATATGATCATCAACACTCCTCTATTTTAGAGCTGATATCAGGCAGAAATATTTAGGGTGTAGTAATGCTTAGGTCATAGTGACATTGTTTAATTTAGGCCTGACTACTCTGTATAAACAATGGAGGCCTTACTAATAATCATGCCCTTGAAGAGGAGCTAACAGACTGATAAAAGGCGAACATCCAGCCCAGAAGGTGCCAAAAGCTGGATGACTGCCGAAGAAGCATGAAGTTAACAAGGATCTAGAGTAACTAGGAAAAAGGCAAAGGCGGCAAGGGGAGATTGCAACCACTGACTCAATTCAGAACCATAAACACTGCACCCCCACAGCGTGCGAGCATGCGTAAAGTAAGGAAGGAGTATACCATTAAGATAAGCATCTAACATGGTGAAGCAACCAGAATGTAATGACTAATTTCTTCGTTTTTGTAAGAGTATATAGTCCTTGTGACTCTGCTAAGGGGTGGGCTAGCTTTGTGGAATTATCACCTAGCACCCATATCTGCACAAATATGTAATATGGACAATACCTCTGCTCTGTGTGTATATTGGCGTACTGCACACCGGGTAAAAGATCCCACTTTTGGGACGACAGAGCCTTAATAATATGAGAGTGGCTTATGCTGTCAAAGGCTTCAGCCAAATCAGTGAAGACTACTCTGACACGCTGGTGTTCCCTCATAGCATATTGAATAAGTAGCTGTAGTAGTTTTCAATTTTTGGAACAGCTAGGTCATCTTATAAAGCCCCTCTGCTGAAAATTAATGGGACATGCCTTGGTCAGCCAGGGTGTTTAGATCCTTGAAAACAGCCTCAAAATTTTTGACCCAGTCACAATAGTTTGCTAATTACTGATGTTTCTCTGTCGTTCAGGCAACACAGACTTTGATATTTACACTGTCAGGCATTCTTTTACCATGTCCGGTATGACAGTGGACACCAGCCATAGACTAAAAAGTTCCATTAGTTGGTCATGCTGGGGACCTAGTTTAATTAGGTCCCTCAGACTCAAATGGTCTGCGGCCAGTACTGAGTTTTTACTGATTTCTCTGATGTTTTTAGAGATCTCTTGCTGTAATCATGTCTTGGAATGCCAAATTATCTGTGGAGCCAACACTTTTGAAAGCTCCCAGGCCTTTGAATGTTACTGGCGACTCCCATCTCTACTTGAACACAGTGTGTACCACGTGCATGGGGAGACTGTACCTCAGGGATTCCATGTCATCTAGAATAATACTGACTAGTTTCTCCCTACCCAGTTGGAACAGCCATTGGAAGCATAAGAATTCACAGAATCATGGAATCATAGAATATCTTAAGTTGGAAGGGACCTGTAAGGATCATTGAGTCTAGCTCGCTGCTCCTTTCAGGACTACCTAAAACTAAACCATATGACCAAGAGCATCGTCCAGATGCTCCTTGAACTCTGACATGGCTTGGTGCCATGACAACTTTCCTGGGGAGCCTGTTCCAGTGACCGACCACCTTCTCAGTGAAGAACCTTTTCCTAATGTCCAATCTGAACTTCCCCTGACTCAGCTTCCTATCATTTCCTCATGTCCTGTCACTGGTCACTAGAGAGGGGAGATCAGCACCTCCCCCTCTGCTGCCCGCCTTGAGGTATTGGGCCCCATCACACTGCTGTCTTCTTTATCCACCCTTTCTGTGGATCCAAAGGACATGCTTTCTGGTGCTTTCACATTAGGCTGGCTTTTGCCATAGTAGATTTAGCAAACAGGCATGAGTAGCAGTTTTTAGAGGTATTAGCAATCGGTAATTCTGGATCTTTCTCCCCCTTGATCACCTTCCTATAAGCCCCTTGGAAGAACAGGAATTTTATCAGATGTCAGCCATTCCACGATAACCTTTCTGTAATGGGATTTCAACCCACCTTCTCCATGCAACCCAACATCATCTTGATGTTCCCCTTCTTCACATAGATGTTTCTTCCAATCCAGATCTTTCACCTTTTTTTCACTGGACACTTCAGAAGTTCTCTCTTCTTGTCGCTTATCTGTTTGGCCATTTTTGACAGCACATGTTCTGCTATCAGCTTAGTATTTTTATGACCCTCTTACTGCTTTTCAAGCTTTCAGAGTAAGTTAACCTTCTCCTGTGTCCAGCATGGCAGCCTCCTTGCCATACCTTTTTTGGGAGACTAAGATCTGTTCCACGTTCCTAGTAACTGGGTGGACCACGTGCTTATGTTAATTCAGGCCAGTTTTAGTTTCAAACACAAGATTGCGTTCTCTGCAGCTCCAGCCCTCCATCAGGGCGGATTCCACAGCCCCCCTGCACTTTGGGAAGTTGCAGGCGGTACTATGATGTTTCACATTTGTTCACCGAAACAGGATCTTTCACCTTCCATGAGCTCTCTTTAGATTATCAATTAGTCCCAACATTTTTCCTAACTGGTTCGTGCAACAAGGACATGATGGACTTTTATGTGGAACCCTCACAACCAGAGTGCTGTTGGTTAGAAGATCTCCTCTGGTAGCCAGGATAGGCATTGATGACATTGGTGGAAGTTGGGCCACAGTCATGGAGGGCACGGGTTCCTCACCCTCCTCACTTTCCATGTCAATTGCATGTGTGCTGATGTTAGTGCCCCAAAGAATCAGAGAAGTGGTCGCCTCATGCATCTCTGGTAACCTGACCAGATAGTCACTTCTGGTGGAAGGATGACACTGTTCCAAACCACAAAAGTCCAAGTTTATAAACTCCAGCCCAAAAAGATCCATTTCCTCTTCTACCAGTCTTTTGTGGGCCCTGATGTCCTTAAGGACCACATAATCCCACAAGTCCAGTGGACTTGTTTGTGTGGCTACTAAGCAATGTGTATTGGCCAGACCATAACATCATACACAATACGAGGGCAAGTGCAAGCCATATGTAGCCCACCCTCAAATAGCTGCCTGACTTTGCCCAGTTACACCCCTGGGCACAGGCTCTGGACAATCATCTGTAGGATCTGTTGCCAGAATTTGGTTTCACCTAAAGAAAAGCTATCAAGTGGTCAGTAAAGCCAGTCAACAGGGAGGAAGCAGCTATAACTCCAAACGCACTTGGTCAGAGGCTGTCTTGGGTTACCCTGAAGGACATCTAACAGGACCATGAGGAGGTGTAGCCTCTACTGCCGAGCCCAGCTAGTAACTATGGTCCTGTCTTAAGAGAGTCACGGTGTTACTCCTGCAACAAGTGTAGAGATTACTTTATAGTCTTCCCTCAGTGGCACTGTGAATGAGTTGTCTCCTCTGTATTTATCGTTGTATTTCATGATCCCTGCTTGAAGTTTATATTTTTTTAGTCACCGTCAAATTTCATTGCACTTGACTAACAGCTTCCAAAGTTAAACCAGGATACTAAACAATACATGGAGTACGACTGTATCCATTTGTTCTCTCGGGAAGCAAGGTTTTTATTTCCACATACACCAGTGCAAATATATGGAAAACATGTTCCTGAGAGCATCTGATATGTTCCACCTCTGTTGTTCCCACCTGTGATTCCCAGGATGTAATCATTGGTCATACAGTATCTTTCATGTTTATTTCTTGCTGCTTTTTCCTGTGTGCTGGCAGGTATGTGCGTGGCCATATTTTGGCCTGAATTGGAGAACTGTTCTGGCTTTAGGAAAAAAAGGAGATAAAGAGCCCTACTGCAAAATAATATGTTTTTACTGAAAACCTTGTCCCACAAAGCCATTTTGGTCAGCACCTGTAAGGGCTGGGAAGTCCCTCTTGCCTACTTCTGTGACATAGATTGGCGTGTGTTTCTTTTGCTGTCAGTCGGAGCTTCATTATCTCCCTGTCCTCATTATGCAAGAGTGTTACACCCACCCCCGCTAGCCTGCATTGTTCCAGCACAAATGCTTGTGTGGTCTCTCAGTGAAAAAATTCTTACTTTTTTGGCTAGGCTCTGCTTAGCTGGCTCTGTTCCCTTAGGCAATTTACCAAACAGTCACACCTGCACAAAGAGGGGTTCAGAAGTATATGGTGGGGGCGCAAATTTCTTAAGCCAATTAAAGTACCACAGGCTGAATGTGTTATCTTAGCTTTACTCTAGCTTCTGTTTCTGTTGAAGTAACTTCTTCAAGATACAGAACATACATCGTGTAAAGACATGAATCCTTTTCTGCTCCAGCTTTCCAACTCCAGAAACTCTGGAAACCTGTCCCTTTTTTCGTCATTCTCACTTCTTTCTAAATTGTTCTCCACAGAAGGCTCTCACATGACATCTTCTGGTAGAAAGCCAGTTATTCCTCTCACAGGATCCATCCAGTGTTAATGGCTCTTAAGGCCTCTTGCATTGCTTTGC